TTGAAAAAAAAAAATAAAAAAATAAAATAAAAATATAATCGAAAATCTCAATATTTATTTTCTCAATATGGGTCAAAGGTAGTTTATTAAAAATAGTATTGAAATTAGGAGTGTAAGACAGTTAAGTGTTGGTGTCGTCTTTTAGTTTTGTACAATACGTCAAGAAATTTAATTATGCAAATCCATCGATAGTTAAGAAATCTTACTACGCAGTTATTTTAAAATATTTATTAAGCTTTCAAGGATAACGGGCCAAGAATAGAGCTTATCTGGGAAGTGTTTTAAAAGACAACGGAAAATGTTAGACAGAAATATGAAGACGCGTGGAATAGACAAAGTTGCCTTCCAAAAGCTAAGCAAAGTATTAAGAAACAGGAAATTTTCATTAGAAACTAAAATAAAAAGAAAAAGAAAAAGGGGACTGGACTGCTATGTAATATCAGTTCTCTTATAAGGCAGCGAATGTTGGACAATTTCTTCATATATGAAAAAGAAACTTGAGGCAACGGATATGTGCTTCTACAATTGAGAATACCATCGACTGAACATGTAAGCAAATAGGAAGTTTCAGGTAAAATGTAAACAAAAAGGAGACTTATACATAACATAAGAAAGAGACAGTTGGGACTTATAGAGCAGATAATGAGGAAAGAGGGCTTAGAACATTTGACACCCACAAGACATACTAAAGACAAGAGAGACAAAGGAAACAGCGGAGAACGTACCTAATGACCTTATTCAAATGATTGGTAAAACAGGGATGAGGAGAGATAGCAAAAAGGCAACAATTACTGGAAGCTACGAAGGACAAGATGTTGTGGAGAACCATGATCTTAGAAATTTATTTAAGTAGCGAAAGATACGTTCTGAAATTTAATGTATTATGGAAATGAAAAATTTCAATCGAAACAAAGTGGACTGAACTATTATATAATATTAATCCTCCTATATGGCTGTGACTGCTGGACAATCTACTCAAAGATGAAGAGCCTTGAAGCAACAGAAATGTGGTTCTACAGAAGGATGCTGGGGATGCCATGGACCGATTACGTGAGAAACATGAAGTTTTGGAGAAAATGGAAATAGAAAGGAAACTCATACTTAAAAATCAGAAAGAGTCCTTTGAAATTTCCAGGGCGCAAAATTAGAAAAGAGGGCTTGGAAAATTTGATACTCACAGGAAAGATTGAAGGCAAGAGGGTTTAGTAAATTGTATAGGGTATAGGGAACTAACAAAACAAAGTTTATTAATAGCTATAAAGGACAGGAAATTGTGGAGAGACGTGATCACAGATGAAGTAGAGACTGGAGGCAACAGAAAATGAGGAAAAAGGGCTTAGAGAATACGACACTCACAAGACTTGTTGAAGGTAAGTAGCGAGTAACCGAACGAACAAACTTAAATGAATACCAAAACAAGAAGTGGGAGAAACTGTGCTGAGAGTTACGAAAAATAGGAAAATGTGGAGAACCGTGAACACCCGAGTTCTAACGGAACACGGCACATGAAAGAAAACGACACTCCAAATACGTATATGTTATGAGAGAATAGGTATTGAGAATTACTTAGAATTATTAGTATTAACGATGGCACATGGTGTCGATATGAGTCTTTCGTATCAAATACAAGTGCCGGCACGATTAAATGATTTCCTTCATGTTTTTTCCTCTCCCTACACGGTGCTTTTTTTGATACAACACGCTTATAATTTTTCAAAAAAGACCCTTTTCAAGCGGCACGGTTATTTTGTTCCACGTTATTAAAAGTATATAGACATTTCAGGTGGAACGTTTATCCAAATCAGAACGCTTCTTTAATAAATTCAAAAATTCTCACCAGCACAATTATTTCAGACGGCCACTGCGTATGTTCCAAATGTGTATATGAGATATGTGCCAAAACGGCCCATCTCACCCAGCACCCGCCCCACTTTGGCTGCCTCGTGCAGGGACCCTGTTAATGCAATAGACGAAGTTGTGCATTTGGCACTGAGAATATTCATAAATCCTTAAAGTTTTGTTTGGTTTGTTTTACGGTAAACCGACCTCAGTGGGTTATTTTATACCATTAAGATTTTTTTTTTATTGTTGGTAATATTTTTTCCAAAAATGTATTGCTGGTAATATTTAAAAAAAATATATTGCTGGTAATATTTTTTAAAATGTATTACTGGTAATATTTTTTCCCAAAAATGTATTGCTGGTAATATTTTTTTAAAAAATGTATTGATGGTATTTTTTTCCCAAAAACATATTGTTGGTAATATTTTTCCCCTCAAAATGTATTGCTGGTAATATTTTTTTAAAAAATGTATTGATGGTATTTTTTTCCCAAAAACATATTGTTGGTAATATTTTTCCCCTCAAAATGTATTGCTGGTAATATTTTTTTTCTCAAAAAAAGTATTGCTGGTAATATTTTTGTTTCAAAAATGTATTGCTGGTAATAATTTTTTCAAAGAATGTATTGTTGTTAATAATCTATAGTTGTTAATAATTTTTTTCTTCAAAAATATATTGCTGCTATTAAAACCGATTTTTACACGTTCTAAGTTTTTTTTTTACCCCATTTTTGGGGTTAACTATTTGACAGGTGCTACCACCACTGGTCAGGATGGACCTGAGAACAACAGCAATTAAGATGTGGTTTATATACTCCTCAAAACCTTCAATCTCCTGATCAGATGTCTTATTGCTAGAAAGGTGGACCTGGGAACAACAGCAATTAAGAAGTGGTTTCAGGCCCCTCAAAACCTCCTGATCAAAGACCTAGCTACCGGATGTAGTTTATCGTCTTACCCAGGACGGAACGCTTAAAGAAGATCGGTTTTAATTTCGGGCAGTGACTGTAACACATCTGTTTTTAATGGAATCGATGAGGTGTTGTTTTAGGAGCTTAGAATGATAACAAAAAGCGAATTAGAACGGCCGTATTAATTTGTTATTCATCAATGCGCCCACTCGCTCGGCATATGATTCAAGGCCGGGTTTAAAGTGTCATTTCTACGCTTTCATGAGATTGGAGACAAAATTACACAGCTTTCTCAGCACATGTCCTTTGGGGGCCTCGGGCCATGATGCTAAACCCCCTCCTTTAAAATAATTAGTAGTGCCTTTGCAGCTGGGCATAATCAGAAACACGTATAAAAATGGTCGTTTTAACTTGGCATTGATCCATGAACTGACTTGAACCGCGTATGACATAAGGCCGGGTTAGAAGTGGTATTCCTACACGTTCATTATACTGGAGACAATATTGATCAGTTCCGTCGACACTTTCCCATTAAGCCACCGCAGGCATCAGGCATTGACATAACCCTCCTTATTCTTATGCAACGAAAGAAATATTATTTGGGTTGGTAGAAGCCATTTTTATTTTTAGGTTTATTTTGTTCCTTGTATAAAAATTATCGGCGGAACGTTTATTTGAACCAGAATGCTTATAAATTAGAAAGTTTTTACCAGTATGACAGTTTTTTCTAAATATCTTCCAACACAAAGTCCGATAGTTACTGAAGGTAGAGAGTGACAGTCGAAATTGTAATAATGAATGAGGTGTGTGATATAAGTTGGGAAATAACCCAGAAGTGAAAGTTTGTAAAACGACTGAGGGGGTACTTCCCTGGTCAATACAATCTTAAAGTCTACAAGTCTAGGTTTAATCTTTTTATTTCCAAAATATCATCATACATTACACATTTTACATCTCCTACTTATGTTAGTACTATAACCCCATTCAGTAAACTTCTACCTTGAGTGGCTCTTGGGACTTGGATTAGATGAGCAATTAGTAAATAACAGGAAGCAGAGGGTGGTATGAAGCGAAGATTATGAGCATGATGATAACGATTGATCTTTGAGCTCAAAATTAAATTGTTCAGGGAAACACCCACGTGGGAGTTTGTTTTCAGGTTATTCCAGTGGTTTCATTGTTGAGCGGCAGATCAACTCCTTATATATACAATGCCTGGGTGTCTAATTTAGCAATGTTAAATCTTTCTTTATTTTAGTTGATAATATTGACCATTTACGGTCTAATATATATTTCGAAATATATATTTAGTCCTTTGGAAATTGATCGGACCAAAGTGATGCTTCCATTGATGCAACTGCACATGCGCACGAAGGCTTGGGGCTCGCTGCAATTTTAAACTATTTTTTAATGTGTGTTTGGATATATAGTCTGTTTAGTGTAATCAATTTTATTTAGTTTATTTTGCTTGTTGTTTATATTTCTGTCACTTTTGTTATTAAGTTTGTTTAGTGGCATATCGACTCCTTATGGGTCATTTAATGTTGAAATTTAATTTTCATGGGAGCATTTGTAATTTCATTTACAAAAATGTTAAGCAATGTTTAGTCTGGTCAGTACCTAGATGGGTGATCGCTTGATGGCAATATGACACTGCCTAAGAATGAGGATTTTGAGTTCGTTTGTTTAGCGGCATATCAACTCCTTATGGGTCATTTAATGCTGAAATTTAATGTTCTTGGGACCATTAGTAATTTCATTTGCAAAAATGTATTAGTAATTTTTTCTTTAAAAATGTATTGCTGGCAATTTTACTATGAAAATTTATTTTTATACTTTTTGAATCCCGTCATTTTATTGCAATGAGACATCGATGGTGTATCCAGTGGGGATCGAACTTACTACGCATTGATAATGGTAGCCTACACAAGCTTGGTAGCCATTACAACGTGCTGCGCTGCTCAAAATATGTTTATATATGTATAGATTTCTTTTGTCTATATTAATGGATTTGTATTTATCTTTATTGGTTTCTCGATATTTGAGTTGAATTTCATGAGACTTTTTCGTCCCATATCGCATAACAAAAGGGTTTTGAAGATAAGACTTGATATAAAAACGTGTGAATTGTATTTCAACAGTTTCTTTTTATGGATCCAGTGGAAGACAATCATTTTGCGAAGTGTTTAAAGATAAGAAATCGATACACCAAGATGGAGATAAGAAAACGATACAAAAGAAAGATAAACTAAAGAAAGAAAGAAAGAAAGAAAGAAAGAAAGAAAGAAAGAAAGAAAGACAATTGCAAAAGAGAACGAAATTTGAAAAATAGAGTTGGGCGTTCAAGACTAAGGAAAACGTAAGAGATGAAAAAAAGAAAAGAAGGGAGTTACAGTACAGACAGTACGAGAAACAGGAAGAGAAAGAAAGAAAGAAAGAAAGAAAGAAAGAAAGAAAAAAAAGAAAGAAAGAAAGAGAGAAGACGTTGAGATGAAGGTATGCGAATGATATCGAAAGAAGGAAATTCACTGAATGAAAAATCCAGTAAGTCAGAAAAACAAGAGTGTGAGAAAGAGAGACAGATAGAAAGTTCAATAACGTGGCAAAGAGAAAGAGAGAGAGAGAGAGAGTGAGAGGGAAAGTTAAATAAAGTTTGAAAGAGAGAGAAAGAAATAGAGAGATAGAGAGAGATAGAAAGAGAGGGAAAGTTCAATAACGTGATAAAGTGAAAGAGTGATAGAAGTGAGAGATATACAGGGATATATATAGATATATATATATATATATATTAAAAAGAAGAGGGGTGCCGCAAACGTTTTTGGTTGTAATGTGGATTTATTGAGAAAAAATATTATACTTTGTTTTACATGTAAAACAAAGTATAATATTTTTTTGTTTATTGAGAAAAATATTATACTTTGTTTTTACATGTAAAACAAAGTATAATATTTTTTCTCAATAAATCCACATTACAACCAAAAAAAAAAAAACGTTTGCGGCACCCCCCTTCTTTTTAATATACATACTTTTTCTCGTTGGAACCACTACAACATATTTTTATATATATATATATATATATAGAGAGAGAGAGAGAGAGAGGAAGTTCAATAACGTGGTAAAATGAAAGAGAGAGACAGAGAGAAAGTTTAATAACGTGGTAAAGAGGGGGAGATATAAATATAGAGAAAGAAAGTTCAATAACGTGGCAAAGAGAAACATAGAGAGAGAGAGAGAGAGAGAGAGAGAGAGAGAATGACAGGGAGAGAGAAAGTCCAGTAACGCGATAAAGAGAAAGTGAGGGAGAGAGAGAGAGTGCGAGATAGAGAGAAAAAGTTCAATAACGTGGTAAAGAGAAAGAGAGAGAAATAGACAGAGTGAGTGAGAGGGTTTAATAACGTGGTAAAGAGAAAGCGATATATATATACAGTGTAACCCGGATATAAGAGAGTTTTCGGGACCGGAGAAGATGTCTCTTATATCCGGGTTAGGTCTATTTTATATACATTAACACAGGCTCTAATTTGGGACCAGAGAAAATCTCTCTTATATCCGGGTTACACTATATATATATATATATATATATATATATATATATATATATATGAAGAAAATATCTGGAAAAACAAACAAAAATCCTTAGAAAGTGATTATGTTGTTTTAATTATGAATGAAATGTCGACGTCTGACGTTTCGGTTTAATAACCTTCTTCAGGACAATATTCATTAAAAATACAATACAATTAACATAATCAGTATAAATCGACGAAAACGATGGACATAAAAAACAAGTCTTATCCAAAACAGATGATATAAAATTTTGAATGATTAGCTTTCCGTTTGAGCGTGGTCACGTTGTCGTCAAATGGGCGACGCTTTAAAAACGTATTCTTAAAATTTTATAAAATTTGATTCCGATGGAAAGCAGTTCGTTGTAGTAATAAGCGGAGACTAGTAAATTCTTGTATCCTCGGATAAGCATGCAGCCCTCCATACAATAAAATGAATTCAGGTTTGTACTTCCAGTGGACAGTATGTTAGCAAATATAAATGGACATAAATCCGACAGAATGAAGAAAATATCTGGAAAAACAAACAAAAATCCTTAGAAAGAGATAGAAAAAAAAAGTTCAATAACGTGGTAAAGAGAAAGAGAGAGATAGACAGAGTGAGTGAGAGAGTTTAATAACGTGGTAAAGAGAAGGCGATAGATAGATAGATAGATAGATAGATAGATAGATAGATAGATAGAATGAAGATCCTGAGATAGATAGATAGATAGATAGATAGATAGATAGATAGATAGATAATGAAGATCCTGAGATAGATAGATAGATAGATAGATAGATAGATAGATAGATAGATAGATAGATAATGAAGATCCTGAGATAGATAGATAGATAGATAGATAATGAAGATCCTGAGATAGATAGATAGATAGATAGATAGATAATGAAGATCCTGAGATAGATAGATAGATAGATAGATAGATAGATAGATAGATAGATAATGAAGATCCTGAGATAGATAGATAGATAGATAGATAGATAGAGAGAGATAAAGTTTCGATTTGGAAAGGAAAGAAGAGAAGAGAGGAAGGGAAGTATGAGAAAAAAAAGAAAAAAAAAGAGAAAAGAAAAAAACAGAAAAAAGACAAAGAAAGAAACGTTAAAAAAAAAACAAAGGAATAAAAACAGAAGAAAACAAGTGTAAATATAAAATTTTCAGGAAATAAAGAAAGAAAAAGAAAAAACCATTCTATATCCAGATCAGGTTTCTTTATTTCTAACTAAAGAATATTAATCTCTGATTTCTATATCTATGTGCCCTGCTCCTTCAGAGCATGACCGATCGTGGCTCTCCACAATTTCCTGTCCTTTAAGGCTTGTAGTTAGATGACTATTTCCTCATCTTTGTTCTGCCAACGATTTACACAAGCTTCTCCTCCTCGTCCGACTCCTTCTTCTATGTGACTTGTCGCTTCAGGACGCGGGTGATCGTGGCTCTCCACAATTTCCTGTAATTTAAAACTCGTAATATATATATATATATATATATATATATATCAAAGTATATAATTGGTATATACGGAATGAATTCCAATAACCAACAATTACTATTCTTAAAAGAGTGCTCAATACAAAGTAGAGCAGATATAATTATTTTTATAAAAAAATTTATAACATAAGTATTTTATAAAATCACTAAAGAAAATAGCCATTTTATTTTCTTTTCAACTCTGTGTCTTGATCAAGACACAGAGTGTGTTGAAACAAAATGGCTATTTTTTTAGTGATTTTATAACATACTTATGTTATAAATTTTTTATAAAAAATAATTATATATATATATATATATATATATATATATATATATATATATATATGATTACTTTTTTAAACGTTGTTTTTATTGACACACAATTTATCAGTCTTTACTGACCAATTATTGACGTCATGAACCCAGCCGAGTTTCTGGGTTCGATGTCGTGACACTAGATGGGACGTTATAGTGCATATGATCACATATCCCACGGGGATAAAGAACGTTGAACTGACCTTGCTGATTATTGATCTGTTGCCCCCAGCATTGAATGTGGATGTGATTTGAGCGTGTGTCACTTGTATGTCAACCCAAATCTAGACAAATGTCTCTGATGGCGATTCTTAAGTATCGTGGTCGGCCACTGCGCAGTACCCTTCCACCGAGTCCATACGTAGATCGAAGGATGTGAAATTTCACCAGACTTCCGGAAATGGAATTTACCATCTGTCTGTTACCCAATATAATCTCCTGTTACAACACAGATAAAACTTGTAACTGCCTCGTCTCACTATACATCAAATCTCAGCTGATAATTCTATGGACGACTGGGTATTTCCTTGAGAAAATATTTTGGTTGACCACTTACTATTTCATTCATGTCGCTATCCCAAAACCTTTAGCACATCAGTGTATTGAAACTACCGCAATTTCCCATATATAATACGCCTTCATCTATAATACGCACACCAAAAATTGTTCTGAAAGTGTGGGAAAATGCTTCTACTCATGCATAATACGCACCCCTTGTTTGGTAATGAAACCCTATAAATTGTACCTGTCCAATTTCATTACAGCCAACGTTTTCTGCTCTTATTTAAAAAAAATGTTTTTAAACATAGAATAATATTATTTTAATTTAGATTTATTATAATTTTTATTTTATTTTACGGCAATTTTTAAAGAGTTTTTTTTTATACGCACCACTGACTTTGCTTATTATCTTTTAGAGAAAAATGCGTATTATACATAGGGAATTACAGTAATTGAAGCTGAGCTCAAAGACAAACCGTGATGGATATATCTTGCCTATACTCTGGGTACCACCTGAAATAGCCGGTGTTTAGTGATTTTCTAAGCCCGGCTTAGATGTTGCACAAGGCCGACAGTATGGGGCACCCAGTGAGGATCGAACTCACTACTCAGTCGTAATTGATCTAGCAAGACAAGATTTCTAACAATTACACCACGTCGAGGTGCCCAGCGATTTTCAAAACGTAGCTTGGATATGGCACAAGGCCGAAAGTATTGGGCACCCAGTGAAGATCGAACTCTCTATTCAGTCGTAATTGTTCTAGCGAGACAAGCTTGCTAACCATTACACCGCTTCGAGGTGCCCAAATAGCCGGTCTTTATACTGACTCGCTAGACGTCGGATTGCAGCTGATATAGGTCTGTAAGTCTGGGTACTTTTGAACAAGTTACGATGCCACCAACTACCAAGACCTTTACATAGTGCTATACCATGACATTTGACAAGTCAGTGCATTGGAACTAAATTAATTTATAAATATATTCTTGTGGTAAACTCTGCCTAGGATCTGGATGACAGCTGAAATAAAATTTGTTCTTGTAAAGTTTTTAAATTTAGTTTCTCAACGTTTTCTATCACGTTAGTGGAAATTAGACGACATGGCCGGAAATTGCAACCTATTCACTATTCCAAGAATAGAATATAAATGTGGAGACGTTCGGACTGTTTATGATAGATCGATAAACAGATTTACAAGGTTGTAAAAGGATACAGACAAGAAGATAGCAATGCAAGCAGCTATTAAGTCCGGGATGATTGTTGATAGGAAAGAAAGCCTAAAATGGTGACAAGAACAGTCGAAGCGGAGATGAAACAAATGCAATGTTATTATATGCGAGGCTGCCGAAAAGTTCTCAGCACGACCAAGAAAGGTTAAAAAGTATTGCTTGGTTATTTTTTATTATCTTTTTTAATCATTTCCCCACATGCAAGGTAATAAAGCCACTGAGACACAAGGGTTTACTGGGTGTGAAGAAATAAGAGAAAGGAGAAACATTATTAAGGAACAAGAAAAATAAAAGAAGAGGAATTATGAAGACAAAGGATAACAATTGACATTGCATTTAAATTCATCAAAATCAGTTGGCTGAAAAGCAAGAGGTCAGAAAAGAGTTCAACAAGTGCGACAGAAGAAACTGTTAGCATAGAACTTACAGGTATACATCGCTATTTCAATTGTAAAATGATGAGACCTAACGGTCAATCTAGTACTGCGCTTAAATTCATAAAGTTTTGGTACCATAGAGCAGAATTTACTCCAACAATTTTTTAAAGTAGATTACCCCAGGCAAGTTGGGAATGCCACTAGCACGCAAGGGGTTACAGAAAGTGAGAGCAGACATAAAGAGGAGTGTTTGAGGAAAGGACACCAAGAAGGACGAGGATCAGGATGAAGGCATCAGAAGATGTCGATTGACATTACATTTGAATATTTGAAGGTTATAGCTATCAGAGAAGCAAGTAAAAGAGAGGGAGTCCCACTTCCGGGAAGTGCGAAAGAAGAAGCTGTTGGAGTAGAAGAGACGGTTACATTTAACCGTTTCGACAGTGAAAGGGTGGGACCGAGATGCCAACCTAGTAGAACGCTTAATTTCATGCAATTTGGGAACCAATGAAAGTAGCTCGGTAAAGCAGTTGCCATGAAAATACTTATAGAAAAGACAGAGGGAAGGCACAGCACGTCTGTGAGAGAGTGACTATGGACGAGTTATCATGAAAGGTATTTATAGAAAAGTCACAGAAAAGCTACATTACGGTGTTGTGAAAGTGACTGAAGGCTAGACGCCAATCAAGACCAGTAAGACTACTGATTCTTCTTTGGATTTTATTAACCCGAGAACACTAACCATGGGTATATAGTAGCCAGTAAAAATTTTCCTATTTTAATTACAATTTTCAGTACCTGATTTTCATACCTAAATAAAGTTTTTCAGTTCCTATTAATGTTAACTCAAAGTACAAAATTTGAAGCGCCTGCATGTAAAAAACTTCAAATAAAGATTTATATTTAATATTATTTTGATATTTTCAAAATCGGGTCTGATATATCCATGGTTAGTAGTGGTTTAACTTTAATTGATGGTTAGTGTTCTGGGGTTAAAAATCTCCAGATATATAACAGGAGAACAAGACCAGGTATGGCAGTAATATTCACAGCATTAACGAATGGGAGACTTATAAATATGTGAGATAGATTCCGGAGAGAAAAAATTTCAAGTACGATACACTGATCCAGATTATATCCAACAAACCTGGAGATGGATTCAATATAAAGCTTCCACTTTGTGTCAGCCGAGGCTGTTAGCCCGAGAAGGCGCAAATAGTCATTAGTGTGAAGGTTGCCATCAGTTATGCTGATAGGAGGCAGAAAGAAGTCTAATTGATAGTTAAAATTAACAAGCCATTCCTTGCCCCAGTTAACAACAGATTGCAGGTCATTTTTGAGATAAGTTTGGCCTTATCGAAGTGATCAGATTTACTATCGAAACAGGAGTAAATAGATGCGTCATCAGCATAGATACTGAGTTAATAACAACCTTGACAACATAAGATATTAAGTTGCCATCATTGATATAAATTAAGAACAAAGTAAGTCCAAGGATAGATCACTGGAGCACAACTTATTTGATTGGCTTTGGGGAATTCTAAAAACCTTGACACCGTTAGATATACAGATGACATAGCTTTTGATTGCAGACACAGAATGGAAATTAAAGGAACTCTGACAGAAGGTAATAAAAGAAGATGTGAAAAAAGGAATATTGGTCAATTGTAAGGAGACAGAATGCATGCTTGTCAGGAAAGATATCCTCCTGTCTCGTAATACTCGTTTTGGAATGAGTCTTTCGCCGTCCCAATGCGTCTTCGTTACTGGGCTTGTCCTGAGAAACAGTTTAAAGAGATACATTTTACATCTTTCCACAAAAAAGTAACGCTCAATAATCCGTCAATTATAAGCAAGGAAATTCGAACACTGATTTTTGAATTCCTCTGCACCCCAAGTATTTATAGTGATAATTTAGTTTGGTAAAAGGTCAAGAATATTGAGCACAATATTTTCTAACTTCGGTCTTTGTTTAGCCTGTAGAAGGAATTACTAAAGCTTTTTCCATTATTTTTCATTGATTAGACTCTCGTTTAGTATATATATATATATATATATATATATATATATATATATAGCTAGGGGTGTGTGACTGATTTGAACCTTTTTAATCCCTTTATTCTACATTCAACACTATCACATGATAAGACAACAGAAATGTTGAAACAAAACAGCTATTTCTGTAGTGATTTTATAACATATTTATGGTATAATTTTCGAATAAATAATTATATATATATATATATATATATATATATATATATATATATATATATGCACACATATATATT